CCTTGTCACCTGTCCCTCCTTGTCACCTGTCCCTCCTTGTCACCTGTCCCTCCTTGTCATCTGTCCCTCCTTGTCACTTCGTCTCTTTGAGATGCTAACGCTGCTTGCTTCGAGCCAACTTCAGCGGGCTGGACATATGAGACCTTCCGCCCCTTGTGGGTGATGAATGATTTTTCGATTTATGAAACCTTCGATAACTGAGACCTTCCACCTCTATGGTGATGTTCATCTTGACTTTCGGTGCGAGATAGCTAAATAGCTGAAGCGCTAGTTAACAGGTGGCCACTAAACTAACTAGCTAATGAGACTAAATATTGTTCAGTGTAAGTGGCCTTTATACATGCGTCGTTAGAGATACTGTATATTAATAAAAATATATTAAACGTATATATTAAAAATATTTTAATATATTAAAATATATTAAAATATTCAAAGGTAATGGCCTAATTCAAAGTAGTTGCCTACTATTAATCATTCTATATTATGTGTGTGATGTAGGAAAGAATTAATGAAAATAATTACTGAAAAAGTGTCCTTTTTTGCTGAAGATTGTGTCATGCGGAGGTTTTCAGTAGCGGATGTTGTACTGAAGAGTGTCACTTACCAGTTCAGTTCCTTACATTTAACTGAAGAGTGTCACTTACCAGTTCAGTTCCTTACATTTAACTGAAGAGTGTCACTTACCAGTTCAGTTACTTACATTTAACTGAAGAGTGTCACTTACCAGTTCAGTTACTTACATTTAACTGAAGAGTGTCACTTGCCAGTTCAGTTACTTAAATCTAACTGAAGAGTTTCATCATCGTTATAAACGCCCCCCTGCCTGTGCCAGGACCCATACGTGTGGCAGTACAGCGCCCTCTGTGACCGCGAGGGGGCGCCGCCCCTCAACAACTGCGGCCCCAAGACAAACTTCGGGGCCGACCATCCCGTGGAGGACGCCGCCCGCCACCTGGCGGCCGCCATCCTCAGCCATACTGGCCTGGCGGTTGCCGCCGTGCAAACCATTGAACAAGGTGCAGAATTATCTTACTTATTGATTAACTAATAAATAAATTATTATTATATTGTATTATTATTATTATTATATTATTAATTATTATTATTAAAGTTATTCATGTATTATTAATTAAATGTATTATAAACTACTGGATAAATTAACTAGTTCTTTAAATCCTGATCTAAAGTTCTCTTATTGGTATCTGTGTTTATTATTTGGTGTCCAGTGTAGGGAATTGGAAATTTTCCAGACTTCGTTTATTTATTCATAAATAATTTATTTGATTTGTTACCAGCGCTCGCGGCTCGAGGCAGCCTGATGGGTGACGGTGCTGCTGGGGGACTGGGTTCTGCTGCTGGTGCTGGAGGAGTGGGTACTGCTGCTGCAGGGGGACTGGGTGCTGCTGCAGATGGAGGCGTGGTGACAGTCCCCAAGGCGCTGACGGAGGTGATGCGCTGTGTGCACGCCGCCAAGTGGCAGCTCATGAGACGTCGGCAGCTCCTGAGCCGCTCTTACAAGGAGGTCTGCGCTCCCGTCATCGAGCGATGCAGGTGAGGCCTTTGTTGGCTGACCTCATCAGGCCTTTGGTGGCTGACCTCATCAGGCCTTTGCTTACACCACATGAGGAAGACACTGGCCATGACTTGCGCTGCGATAAATCGTCCCATTGCATTACAAGTACAATATTCAGTCTAAATTCAAGGCAGTACACTGCGTAGAGGGAAGAAACAGGCTGCAGGCGGTTGAATAGCTGCAACAATTTTATAAAACTTTAAATATTAACTCTCTAATGTAACATGGCTTCCTTAACTTGCCCTCCTGCTGCCTCTTGTTGGCCTTGTGTATAGCTTGTTGCGGTTCAAAATCTAACTGGTCTGTTATCTCTTGACTCGTATAGCGCCACTGCTGAATTTATTCTTCAAGACCATTAAATGGCACTAACACGAATATATTGTGGTTCGTTGTTCACTTGCGTGGTAACACTAATATTTCTAGGTGCCTTCTTCACTCTTACATATCCTGCAGTAAAGGGACATTAAAGCTTTCACTCTAATTTACTTGCACTAACACGAATATCCTGTGGTGCGTTGTTCACTTGCGTGGTAACACTAATATTTGTAGGTGCCTTCTTCACTCTTACGTGGCCTGCAGTAAAGGGACATAAAAGCCTTCACTCTAATTTACTTGTTATAATAAATCATCCGCCTAACATTTATTGCCGCCCCTGCTGCAGGTTCGCGGTCCTGGAAGTGCGCAGCGCCGCAAGCCCTCAAGTGGCGTCCCTCGAGCGCTTCTCTCTGCGTCCTCCTTCACGTTGGCGTCATGCCATGTACAAAGTCCTTGCTAGGCTCTCGCTTAACACCAACAACGACAACAGCAACAACGTCAACACCACCGATAACAGCAATAACGTCAACACCACCGACAATACCAACGACACTAACACCCAACAGACCTACCGCCCCGCCGTTGGGATAGGCCAAGAAAAGATGGACTCCAGCGAAGACCGATTTGAAAGCGTGGGCGCTGACCAGAAGGTTCCTCTTGAAAAACAGAATTGGAATCGGTGTTCAAATGCGACGCAAAAACTCAACGAAAGTTCAGGGATAATTGATGATCCTGTAGGAGGTGTAACAGAAGACGTAGGACTGAATCCTAAAAGTATCGATGAGTCATCCCCTGCGATTGATGATACCACAAACTGCGGGTGTAATGCTGGTGATGATAAGCAAGGGCAAAGCAGCCAAGGGAAAAATGTTGCTATGAATGACGAAAACGCCTTCCAACTTCATGACGGCTCTGATGCTGACCAAGCGAAATATTCACGAAAAGAAAGTTTATCCTGCATGAAGTCAAGTGAACCTACCGAAACTGAATTGGAAGAAGTCAACGAATGCGAAGAGAAAGTTGATCTCGTACGCGGCACTTTCCGAAAGAAAGGAAGTGAACAAGGGCCTGAGAACGTCGATGTGGACACGAAAGAAGAAGCCCTGAAGTATTCTGAGGCTGAACTACTGATGGGGTCAGACCCCGGGATGGGGTTAGACCCCGGGATGGGGTTAGACCCCGACGAAACTTCGAGACGCGGGGCCGACTTCATCAACGACAAACTGCGGCGCGGCGGGGGAAGCCTGGGGGGCCGGTCCACTGACGGCGGAGGAGGCAGGATAACAGGAACTTGTGACGTGACCTCCAGCGCTCCTGTGCAGTACGACAACGACCTCGCCAGGTGCGGTGTGATCTTTCTGGAATACAAAAAATTACTAAAATTCTGATTAAAATTGAGCATCTTGATTGTTAATTATGAATAATTATCTGTGAATTCGTTCGTTCTATTTCCATTTACCCTTTAGGTTATATGTTGATGTGTAATTAGTCATTAGTGTTTAATTATTTCTAGAGGCAGAGTTCTAAAGTTCTTTTGCATGGACTCCAGCATTCCTCGGGAGCCTCTGGCCGGAGGCGTGATGGACTCGACCAGCTTCGTCGTCAGGAGCTTGCCGCCCCTCCTGCTGACGTCGTCCACTCAGGACCTCTGTGACGTGCTAGCTCCTGACACCGAGCGTCAGGAACTCGACGAAGAGGGCGACGAAGCTCCTGACGAAGATGACGAGAAATCTCTTGAGGATGTCCTGGAACCCAAAGACGATGTCGGGAGAAGCAAAAAGAAAACCACAGCACCCGGTAAATCAGGATGAACATAAAATCCTGGCTCACCATCACACTGGTTATCACCATCACAATCACCACTAACCGTACATGCATTACATTGTGATGTTATTATGCATGAAACTCTCATCTTAGCTTTGTAGTACCTTCTTATCACCGTATTGTTTAACACGTTCACTCCGAAGTGGTACATATGCGTAACACGAAATGTATTTCTCCAGGACGTAGTGGTACACAATTCAGGTTGCCTAAAATCGGCCAAATCTGAGAACAAAAAAGGCCGATATCTTAATATATACTAGTTTATTTGTAGGTTCCGCTATAAAAATTCCATTTATTTTCTTTTTGCAATATATAAAATTTTATTAGGAAGTACCCACTACCTATCATAAATTTTAGCCGGCCAACGCAATTGAGAAAAACTAAATCACGGAATTTGTCCCGAATTGTCCGGAAAAAATGACCGTCTATCAACCCTGTTTAAAAACAGTATAAAAAAAGAAATAATAGTTGTAGCACTTTCTTATCACCGTATTGATTGATTATATGTTGATTAAGTGATATGATTCTGGTGTATATGTTAATCAATAAATCAATTATAACGCGTTTATTGAGCGTCAGTGTCGCCCCAGGGGTACGGTGGGCGCCGCCCCCGCAGAAGGAGGCCGCCGCCATCGCCGCCTCCATCGTACAGTTCGCCCTCGCCGAGGACAGCATCGATCTCGAGGCGCTGCGACACGTCTTCTTCGCGCAGGTAAAGCCTAGTGTTGTAAATGTGTTAGGCTTATAATAGGCTTAAGTTGGTAAAATATGTTAGGCCTATAACAGGCCTATAATTCTAGGCCTATAGGCCTATAATTCTTCTTAATTAATTACTTTGTATCCTAATGAGTTAGGTGTTGATTGTAACATACCGAACCGAGACGCTGCGCCACATCTTCTTCTCGCAGGTAAAGCCTAGTGTTGTAAATATGTTAGGCCTATAACTGGCTTAAGTGGTTAAAAATATGTTAGGCCTATAGCAGGCATAAGTTGTTTATTCTTACTTATTACATTGTATACTAATGAGTTATTAATTCTTCATTATTACTTTGTATATTAATGAGTTATTAATGTGGTGGTTTGATGATATGAGCTGAGGTAGTCTAATGATAACCTACTGTGGTCTGGTGACTCTGGTCTGATGATAACTGTGGTATGGTCTGATGATAACTGTGGTCTGGTCTGATGATAACTGTGGTACTATGTGTACTTAGGCTGCTACGTGCACTTAGGCTGCTACGTGCACTTAGGCTGCTACGTGTACTTAGGCTGCTACGTGCACTTAGGCTGCTACGTGTACTTAGGCTGCTACGTGCACTTAGGCTGCTACGTGTACTTAGGCTGCTACGTGTACTTAGGCTGCTACGTGTACTTACGCCGCTACGTGTGCTTAGGCTACTACGTGTACTTAGGCAGCGCTACGTGCACTTAGGCTGCTACGTATAGTTAAGCTACTACTTACGTGTGCTCAAGGCATAACGTGCACCTGAGCAAGTTTTGCTAGCACAGAATCTGCACTCAGTGCCGCAGTCAGTAGTGCATGTCTGCGTCGGCGGATTGATTAACTAAATGCCTAGTAAGTCCATCCTTTGCGTAATGTTCGAGGTGCTTGAATAGTTTACCTGTTTTATTTCGTCTCTGTTTATAAAAGTTATTATCTCAGTTTACGTTTGCCGGATTTCACTCTTGATATAATTTTGTATCAAAATTTATTTATTTTATTTCCAATTCTGTCGATAGGCCTATGCCGTCCAGCACGGCGGATGACCTGCCCCTCATCCCGCTGTTCGAGCGCGCCCAGCTGAGGGCGGCCTGGTCCAGCATCCTGCGCTGGGCGGTCCTCAACCTCCGCCAGTGCGTCCTTGAGGCCCAGCAGATCCTGCAGCCTCCTTCACACGCCAACTCCTTCACCGACTCCGTCAGTAGAGGCAGAAATTTTCCTGAGGGTGACGAACCCGAGAAAAAACTCGTCGATGGACTCGCGCAAAATTCAGTGGATATCGCATCTCAGATTAAATCAACGGGCGTTGATGTTAGGGGAATCAACGAGAACCCCAACACCCGGGGAGATCTTTCACGAGGGGCAGCTTCCCCTCTGAGCGACGCGGACCGTAGTTCCCGCATCTGCAGTCCTGTAGGAAACCTTGAAGATTTCGACATGGCCGTGGACGAAGGGCGCTCCGCTCCTGCTGGAGTTGAGGGAGGAGACGATAAGTTAGCAGATATGACGTCAACCGCCGGCACTGCATCGCAGGATGTCAGCACCGGCTTCGTTGTCAGTGGAAGTGCCCTGAGGCACCGCGCTGACGGGGAGCTGGACGCTAGCGCCAGCAGCGGCAGCGCCGGTCACCATCTCATGCATGCTCACCACATCCAGGTCTGCTGGACCGTCTTGAATATATATTTTATGAATTAATTTTGTTCTGGTTACTGTTTTGTATGTATTTATTGTTTCTGTAGCTGACACGCATATTTTTCAGCTCTCTGTAGTCATTTTGGGTAAGTCATTTTCGTTTTGCTTTGTCGATCTGTGCTTTGAAGCGATCGCGTCTGGCATTTTATGTTTTCCGTATCCATAACTACAGTCTGTATCAAAATAGCCGAATGCTGTTGTATAATAACTAATGCTGTAAATCCTAATAATAGTATAATAACTTAATGGTATATAATGCTGTTGTAAACGCACCGGCCACACAGACGGCGTCCATTCAGCAGTCGACCACGAGTCCCTCGAGCGGGGCACCGCTCGGCGGGGGCGGGGAGTTCCTGGCGACGATGTCTGAGCTTGACTATATCAGGTCCTCGGTGGGGACCACCACCGGTGGTGGGGGCGCTGGGGGCGGGGAGTTCCTTGCCACCATGTCTGAGCTTGACTACATCAGGTCCTCCGTCGGAACCACCACCGGCGACCACCACCTTATCAACACCAGCCCCGACGACCTCCCACCTGCTGGGGCGCTCAATGTGGGTCTTCGACACGTGGGGGAGTCTACATTGTTTTGCTTTTTTACGTTAAAATTAAGCATATTCCACTTTTGTTTGGGAATAAAAGTCATCAAGCTATCGTTATGGCCTGGGAACAACTGTAAACAAAACTAAATTTTTTCTTGTGCTTATAAGCATTTTTTCGGGAGATTTCATTCCTTTATTATCATTTATGGCTGCACATTTTTTATGAAGACTATTGGAAATTTGTGTAAGGCTGCAAAAAATATTAATGATGTTCAAGTTTTCAAGATTTAAACATTTTTTTGTGATGTTTTTGATGTTACCGTCGGTGATTTAACCTTGCTGATGGTGCAGCCTGGGGCTGCCCTCGCTCCCCGCGGGGGGCTGGGCCCCCTCCCTCGGACATCACCCGAGTACGCTGAGGGAGGTGCCCCCTGCCATGTGCCCTCTGAGGGCCTCACAGGTGCCGCGCCTGAGAGCGGGAAACCGAGGGAAGCGTTCGCTGCTATGCCCTCGTCAAGGTGAGGACGAACGATTAATAAGTAAACTTTTAATGAAGTTTTTAGCGCATTTTCTCATTTATGGAAAAAATGCACTATTGTGCTCGCCATGTCCGTCTGTCCGTGACCTCAAGTTTTCGTCGACGAAAAAATGCGCTCTCTGTCACTCACTGCAGTGAGTACTGAGTTATATTTTATTGAAACATTTACTGATAAGAGGACCAAGGGAAAAATGTATAATATTAATTTTATTTTACATTTCATGAGCGAGCAAAATTTGTGCTTAATTTTGCTCATGAAATGTTCCTCTATTTAAGTAAAAATCTCGATCAATATCGTACAGTGTTGGCGTAGAAATCGTGGCTTTCCTTCTGAAAAAGAGTTTTTTTTGTAAATTTTAGCAGGCATATACTCTGACCCTGACTGTCACGAGGGCAGCTCCTATTGAAACAATATTTGTGACATTTTAAGTTTTAATTCATGCGAATTTGCTACTTTATAGGTCTTGAAACAGTCGAAAATTTGAGTCTGAAAGGGATTAATTAAAATATTTAGCCTTTGATACATTAAATATACTTCTTCTGGCTGAGAAACACAGTCTAAAAACCTAACCTAACCTAGCCTATAACCTTATATAGGTCATTTGATTTTAACATTTTCGAATTTTCGAAAATATTTTCTAGTATTCGAAAAATACATTACTTTGTTTTAAGGCTCACGTTCATTTAGGTTGGCAAACGTCATAGGGAAAATGGTACAAATGCACAAATTTTACGAGAAAATGTCTCGTCTGTTAGCCCTGCAAGGTTATTAATATATTAGTGTAGTTAGGCAGAAGTTCTTCATTTATACAGGTTTGATTGAAGACCAGAGCGTACTTTTTATTAACAATTTTCTTATTGTTTTTTTCGATGAGCCGAACGAAATTTCTTGCAGGTGTTTGGAGATCAAAAAGCAGATTGCCAAATGACATTTTACTGGAATGCGACGTTTCGAATATATCAATATTCATTATCAAGCAAGTGAACAGTTATTACAACGCTAAAATTGAAATTTGGACATGACATAAGTTCATACAGAAAGTATCGTAGATACGGTTCAAAATCGAAAATCAAATTAATCCGAGAATAATTTCAACGTCCTGACGAATCCCGCGGTTTGCAAATTGATAGCAGGAGACTCGTCCTTAATGATGAGAGCCTCCGCTATCAACA